GACATTGAACTGATCAATGTGGAAATGAAAGACGGAGAAAATGTTGCAAAACTCGTGAAGGATATTACCAAGAAACTAAATTCAAAAAAATGAGGATATTGTTAAGACATGGAGAATAAAGGGACAATACATAAATAATAAACCAAAACCTATAATTGTATCATTACGATCCAGGGAAGCAAGATTAATGTGGATTAAAAACGGGAAGGCGACGGCAATATATAATAATAATAATAATAATAATTTACGTATATACATTAATGAACGGTTAACTCGCCAAACGCGACAGCTATTTTGGTCTACTAAAGTGCAGCTTAAGGATAAGTTTAAGTATATTTGGATACAGAATGTTAAATTATATTACGAAAAAATGAGCAAGAGAAAAAAGTTGAAAGTGTAGGATGTGAGAGTGATATAAATACAATTATTAAGAACTTGGAAAGTAAAAATACTGAGTAAGTTTTATTTTACACATTTATATTGTATTAATGGACTTTCAAGATATATACAACTATGGCAAAGCTACTTAGTAAAAAATAATAATTCAATAAATTTCATACATATACGTACATTTTCATACATTTCGTTCGTTAAGAAAAAACTTCAACAAACTTTGTATTCTTATATAATTCTTGACAAACCTAGATGTAATTTGTCTCACAGAAATAAATATCAAAAGGGATGAGGTATATCAATTTGAGATGAAAGGTTATCACTGTTACTCTTACACTAGAGAAGAAAAACGAGGAGGTGGAATTATTATATATGTGAAAAATATCATGCACTTTGAAATACTTCAAAACAATACCCAAACGTTGTATAGTAAAATTATAAAAGGGCAGTTGAAAATTGAAGACCGCGAAATATACATGTTAGTTACATATAGACCGCGATGTTCAAATAAAAACTCTTTTATTAACGAAATAGAATCCATAATACGCACGATACCATCTCGTAAGGAGAGAGTAGAAAGTCTTTATGAGAGATTGTAATATCAATATATTGGAGGATGCAATGGATAACTCGTCAAGTCTTTACTTAAATACCCTTAGTGACTTAGGCCTACAGTGTGGAATTAGAGATGTAACACGCGAGGTGGTGGTTGCGGAGCGGCGGGTAACGTCATGCATCGACCATGTCTTTGTGCGTACTGCAATCCTGAACACCTGAACAGCCTAGATGCGTATGTATTATTGTGCAGTGTCTCTGATCACTACTTAACGGGGCTTACTATGGTGGGAGGGAGACGGAACAAAGTTTGATTACCTCGTGAAGTATTAGACAATAATGCTATAAAATGCAAACTACGTACTGTGGATTGGAATAATGTCGCTAAAATCAATAATCCTACCGAGCAATATTATAAACTATGTGCAATTTTTATGAACATTTACGCAACCTCTAGAAAAGTAATACGTAGCACGTCCCGTGAAACAAATGCCTGGGCGAGTACTAAACTAGTTCTAATGATGGAACACAAAGATAAATTATTTAAAAAATGGAAATCTAACCCAAAATCTTCAACATTGCATACTACATATCGGAATAAAGTTTGTCGGATGATTAATGTTGCTAAAAATTCACAAAAGCGAGAAAGTATTAGCGATTGTAATGGTGACATGCGTAAGGTGTGGAGCTGCGTAAATAATTGGTTGGGTAGGTCAATGTCAACTCCAGATCATGTTATAGAAAAATACTTTATAAAAGATAGGGTAACGATGGAACACATCTGTAATAACTTTTGCTTAACTTTTACACAAGAAATTGAGCTATTAAAATCGAACCATTTATGTCATAGCTATTTCTTTGATAGAACTAGTTATGTAAAAGATTGTAATGTAAGTTTTTATTTTAGAAAGGTCGAGGGGAAGAATGTATGTAAAGTTATAGACTCCATGGACTGCAACAAGTCACCAGGTATTGACGGTACGGGACTTAAAATTAGTAAAGGAGTATATCAGTCCTATTTTAGCTTTATTAATAAATAATTGCATTTGCAAAGGTATTTATCCCGATCATTTGAAAACTGCAATCATCCGACCTATTTACAAACATGGATCACACAAAGAATATACGAACTACAGACCAATTGCAATATTAAGTATCGTAAATAAAATATTTGAAAAAATATTGATCAAACAAATCGGTATGTTTCTTGAAAAAAATAAAATTTTAACAGAATTTCAATTTGGGTTTAGATTAAACAAAAGTACAACAACGGCCTTGACAGCATTTTCAGATGATGTAAACAACTCGTTAAATAATAAAAATATCGTGGTAGCTCTATTTATAGATCTCAAAAAGGCGTTCGATACATTGGAACATGAGTGCTTGTTGCAGGCCATGGATGAATGTGGAATAAGAGGTCCAGTGAAAACTTGGTTTAAAAAATATCTAGAAAATAGAAATATTGTTGTTCGTGTAAATGGAGTGGATAGTGGGATAGGAAAAGTAAAATTTGGTGTACCGACTGGCTCTGTGTTTAGCCCGATCGGATATATAATGCACGTCAACAGCATGATAAATGTCATCAAGAATTGTAGAACATACATGTATGCTGACGATACCTGCCTTGTGTATAGTGGAAAACATAGTAGCCAGATACAGTTAAAAGTGCAGCAGGATTTAGACAATTTATTAAAGTGGTCCCACGACAATGGCATTATTATGAACTTGAATAAAACCAAATTTATGGTAATATCATCACCCTGTAACCGTTCTAGAAAAGCAGTAGACTATAGCTCTTATGGTCACACTTACGATTGCCTGCACACTGACCATTCGGGCTCTGTCTGCTGTTGCGAAAAGCTACAGTGTGTAACGAACTATAAATACTTAGGGTTGGTTATAGATAATCGTTTCTCATGGGACTTGCATGTTGAATTAGTGTGCAACAGGCTTAGGGCAGTACTAGGTAAACTGAATCATATAAAATATAGAATCATGTATATGCTGTATTATGCCCTAGCAGACGCAACGGTCGGATATGGCTTAGGTGCATATGGACTCACATTCCCAACATATCTTAACAAAATAAAGACTATACAGATAAGGTTGTTAAAGATATTAGTTGATACTAAAACGAAAATTGCTGTAGATAAAAATTATGAAATGTTATTTAAAATTTGCAAAATTATTCCCATAGACATGAAAGTAAAATCCATTCATACAGCATGGTATGGTAACATTTGAGAAACCTAGGACATATACAATGCCGAAGCGCCAAATCACTCAAAGGAGGAAATATCTCATACCTAGGGCTGAAAATTTCTTTGGACGGCATACAAGGCAATGGATAACTCCAACTTTGTGTAATGAGGTAGCGGATATATATGACGAAAGCATAACTAAGGTGCAGTTCAAATCCATCCTGAGAAAACATTATCTGTCGTAGCGTCCATAGTGGTGAATGTTTCTTAAATTATTTTGTGTTAATTTAAGTAGTTAGAAGTACCAGATATTGTTATTAAGGAGTGTGAAACGATGAACTGTTGTGTTGCCGACAAACTGGCTTACAGTTTGGCAAAATTTAAAATATAAATAATCTACACTTTTTATAAAAATAAATTTAAAAAAAACGTCAGTGAATCGAGCCTATCGGATAGCACTCGGTCGTCGACGATTCGAATTTAGTGACTCATAGTTGTTTAAGGTACTTTAAAGCAGTAGCCACACAATTAATGAGTGTAAAGGAACTCCCCAAAAGAGCCCCAAACAAAACAAAAAAGCAACACCTCTTCGTAACGCCAGTGAATCGAGCCTATCGGAAAGCACTCGGTCGTCGACGATTCGAGTTTAGTGACTCTTAGTTGTTTAAGGTACTTTAAAGCAGTAGCCACACAATTAATGAATGTAAAGGAATGCAACACCTCTTCGTAACGCCAGTGAAACGAGCCTATCGGAAAGCACTCGGTCGTCGACGATTCAATTTTAGTGACTCTTAGTTGTTTAAGGTACGGAGTCAGTTGGCGGAAGTTGGATTAAAACTGAGCAGACCTTTTAAAAGTTCAGGAGTGGATTCTGCAGGTCCAATTAATATCCGGTTCTGTCCAGGCCGTGGATCAAAATCCTACAAGGGATAAATTTCTTTGTTCGTTTGTATGGTGAATCGCGCGAGCGATTTAGAAGCGGTATCTGATTTAACGGCCAAAGGCTTTATCGCTACCCGTTAGTAAGCTTTGTGTATTGAATAGCTGAAAAAAAAGATTCAAATCATAGTGTCACTGTGGGCGGCTTGTTTCTTTAGTTGTCATGTGTTTGTCAGGAGTATGAGGATTTATTTATTTTTTTGAAAGACAAGTTGAAGTCTTTGTTGAGCGGAATGAGTAAAAAAGGTTCATGTATGTAGTAAAGTCTGGTGATCGACAGATGACACTGTTTGATTTATGTTCGCGCTATTAAATGTATTCTTCCGTTGTATTTATTTATCTGCTAAACGAGTTGTGTTTACGTGATCGTGTATCATTTCTATTTTCTAACAACCTTATACCCACGTATAACGTATAACTTTACTTTTTACCTAATTAAAGTGTTCTAAGAATTTAATGTATTTCTTTAATCAAAAGAAGGATTCAAAAGGTTGCTAAAATTTTATTAATACCATTAAAGCCGTTTTCGAGAAATCCATTTTATATCTACATATTATATACTGCCACATAATAAAATAGCTTACTTTACAACTAGTTTTAATAATTGATCTACCCTGGGAAAAACCTGACAAAAACCAAACAGGTTTTTTTAGTAAGGGCATTTAATAATTATGTATTATGTAAAGTAAATATATATATATATATATATATATATATATATATATATATATATATATATATATATATATATATAGTATACCATCACCTGAAAGATTTCTTTGTTATAAAGATCATTCATTAAATTTTATTGAATTGTGAGATTGTGAAATTGTGAGGTAATTTTAATCCGTATGTTATACGCTGTCACGGGTTATATTTATCGCAATAAAGTCCACACGCCACGTCTTGCAGGGTCACAGACGATATTCTGGCGATGGCGCGACCCAGCACCGCAAGCATTGCCGCTAGAAATATCATACAGCAATTTCATAGGTACGTAATTCAGATTTAAACCGCTAAAAAAGCAAATGTAGTTTTTTTTAAACGTTGCGGTGGAAGGATAATTTGTGTTCACCTTAAACCGCTCCCAATATAAAATAGTAAGATATACTATCCGTTATAAATTTTACTCTGCGCACGATACTTCTTAGCACTTATAGTCAACCAAATCTAAGAAATACCTTTTGACGTTTCACATTAATCATTCCGCAATAACTTTGCACAAGCGTACTCACACGATTAAAAATAACCTTTTACGTAAATCCAAAGAATTATGAAGTTATCTATATTTCTTTAAACGTGTATAGTTTTTTATCGATAATTTTAATTTTAATTTTTCAAACAAAGCAAAATTTTAAAAAATAACCAGTATCAATTTATTTTTACCTGATGTCATATCAATGATATGTCGCTATGTAGATCACCGTAGTGCTTGGATTATTAAAATTCATTGTTATGCGAATAATCGGCAAAAATATTCAAATAATTGGTAAAAATATTCAAATAATCGAATTATTAATTTTCTTGAATGTATTATTTTATTTTATTTTTAATATTCCAATTACATGAATCATAAATAAAAGAAGTTTATTTTTTTTTTAATTTGTCAACATTCCCGCCATTTTGGGAGTTTACTGTCCGCAATTTTTTTGATTTTGTGTTTGTTTTCTTATTTTGAAAACATGTCTACGGCTATTTCATAAGAGGCGAATATCCTACAGTAGCGAAGTTGCAAGTAAGTTTTAATAGATGCCGGTTTGTGCAGTTGTAGTGTAGAGTCATTGAGAACCATTTTAAAACGCATAGGCTTTCAAAACAAAAAACTTGACAAACGTAAAATAATTATGGAGAGACATGACATAGTCTTGCAAAGAATAACATTTTTAAGAGAAATGAAAAATATAAACGATTGGGACAACGTCATATTTCTTGATGAAACGTGGTTAAACGCCAACCACACTGTAGCGCAAATATGGACAGATGACAATACAGCAACTTGCTCGAAGGCGCCCGCGGGGAAAGGTGGGCGCCTCATAGTTTGCCATGCGGGATTAGCCGGAGGAGGATTTGTACAAAATTGTTTATTAGCCTTCCAATCAAAGAGTACAAGAGATTACCATGAGGAAATGGATGCAGAAAAATTCAAAGAGTGGTTTATAACCCTTTTAAGAAATATTCCTGCGAATAGCAGCATAATAATGGACAACGCCCCGTACCATTCTTACCAAATCGACAAAACCCCAACCCAAGCGAATAAGAAAGCAGAATTAATAGCATGCCTGCAACACAAAGGTGTGAAAGCGGACATGAAGTTATTGAAAGCTGAGCTAATACAATTAGTAAAGCAAAATAAACCACGTAAACCTTTATATGTTATTGATAAATTAGCAGAAGATCACGAGCATAAAGTTATAAGATTACCACCATAACACTGCCAATATAATGCTATTGAATTGATTTGGGCCCAAATCAAAGGCTAGTTCTTATATGAAAAGTGAAAACATATTAACTTTACTTAAGCACACACAAAATGAAAATATCTTATGCTTTTTTTACAGGCTACGTAGCACGCCATAACACCAAGCCACCTTTCACGACGAAGAAGATGGAAGGTTTGCTCAAGGAAGCATGTACCCATGTTACAAAGGATGATTGGGCAAAAGTGGTAGAAAAACAAAAAACATGATTATGGATGACTTTAAAAGGGACATTAATTTTGATTGCATTATTGAAAATCAAATAATAATTAATCTTAACAACGACAGCTCAACTAGTCGTAGTGAAAGTGATTGAATAAATTTATTTTTAATCTAGTTTCAATCTTAATTTTTTATGACTTTTCCTCTAGAATAGCAGTTACAGCATAGCAGTTACAACAAATACGAAGAAAACGATAAATCTTTTGTTTTAAATTATACGTTTCTAATTTATTCTGGTATTATTTAAACCTAACTGTGAATGATTACCAACTCTAAATAATCGATATCGATTTTTTTAAGAATCGATTATTGTGCGTTCTCATTTTTTGGTTGGCATGCTTGGTGCAATAAATCTGACAGCTGTCAAAAGGTATTTCTTAGATTTGGTTGACTATAATAGACGTGCAGGTTTTCTTGAGAAATGTGGTTTGCATGGTATCATAGCCCATCAAAAGTCCTCTGCTGAACATAGCCTCACTCCATAGACTGCCTTCATCATCATCATCAGCCTGCGACAGTCCATTGCTGGACGTAGGCCTCCCCCAAGGCACGCCACATGGCTCGATCTTCGACTACACGCATCCAGTTTCTACCAGCCACTTTGTGCAGATCGCCGCTCCCTCTGGTCACGGGGTGTCCCACACTATACTTGCCTAGACGCGGTCTCCGCTCCATAACACATCTACTCCACCGGTTGTCACTTCTGCGACAGATATGATCAGCCCATTGCGACTTCAGTTTACAAACACGGAAGGTTATATCAGTAATCTTGGGTCTCTGGCGGATTTATTCATTTCGAATTTTATCTACCAGAGAAACTCCGAGCATAGTTCATTCCATTGATTGCTGAATACTATCACGTTTTGGCACCACAAGTGAGTACGGGCAGAATGCACTGGTTGAAGACTTTTGGCTTCTGAGTTTGCGGTATGGGCGACGAAAAAACCCGACGTAGCTTTCTAAATGCTGCCTGGCAGCCTCGAAATCATTCTTGCCTAGTTGTAATATTTACTGACCTGTTCTTGGACGGACATCGTACTGATGTTATAAAAGCATCTCAGCACTTCAGTGTACAGACAGTTCAGTGTACAGCCAGTCTCAATTTAGCACCGCTGCAAATAATCCAGAAGAGCCCAAGTTTCTGTGGAGTCAAAGGCTTTCTCTTAGTCCACAAATGCAAGACGCAGGGACTGATTATACTCTATTGTCTTCTGTATTATTTGCCGCACTATGTGAATGTGGTCTATAGTGCGAAGTCCTCCTCGAAACCCAGCCGCGGAGCCTTCGCGCGAGTCGATTTGTGATGACCCTCGAAAACTACTTATAGACGTGACTCAGAAGCAAAATGAATTTTTCAGCATAGTCTTCGGCATAGTTCATAGAATTGGAGTTGACTGAGCAAATGAGTGAGAAATGAAGAGTTTGTGAATTAGGGATGTACCTATGTTTAACAGGGTTGGCAGAAGTAAATGGCGGAGTCGGTTAGGGCGCTCTTGTTGGAAGCTTATAGGCCAAAATTGACGACATAGGTATTAAAGATGGGCCAAGCTAAGTGTACCCCTATCCGACGAGCATACATAGATATAGATGTGAAGGAGGGGAAAAAGATGTGTATCGAAATCGTGTCAAATTGAGTTCACAGTGTCTGCCTACTGGCTATCAGGCGTAATAGTTTATGTATGTAACATTGTAATGAATGCATAATTCTTTAGCTGGGGCATCCGCACGGTGATCAACCTGCAAACTCCAGGCGAACACGCTAGCTGCGGGCCTCCTCTCACCAGTTCCGGCTTCACTTATGACCCTACAATATTCATGGCCAACGATAGTAAGTTAATGTAAAATTGAAGACATCATTATCATAATACGATTTCATGGCAAATATAAAGTTTTATACATGGTGGAGCCATGCTACAATTATATTGTGGTTGTTACACGAAGGAATCGGCTCGACCGGGGAAGGACCACGCTCTCACAGAATACCAGCGTAAAATAGCAGCATAAAAATAGCAGCATAATTCTGCTATGTTTCGTATGGTGAGTGTAGAGAACCGGAGACACTTTTAACGAGGCATTCCATCTCAGTCATTAGGGGAAACAACGTATCTGCAGTTTCAAGTCTTCAATGAGGATAGATGTAGATGTCTATAAGAAACAGCATCCATTTACCACCAGGTGAACTGTGTGCTCATTTGTCACTCTTTTTCTATAAAAAATAGTAAAAATAAATATTAAAATCTTTACTCCAAACGGATAGAATAAAGCATAGTTTTAAACAGCTAGGTATTCAATTGAGAACAAAATACCTTTTTTTAATTTTTGCATAAGATTTTAAGTTTACTCACCTGTTCAAAAACATAAGACTTACAGAAGATCTAACAATCTATCTGATGATGAGCAACCAGAGTTAAGCAAAGAAAGCTATAGATGCATTGCCATCTCAATGGACTAAATATATAAACGCCTGTAATTGTATAAGTGTTGCTCAAAGGTCACGACGGCCTATCCAACGGAGACTAGTCATCTGGGCAGGACAGGATTATAGTGCCTGAGGGTACGCGCAACCACAGGTGCACCCTCTATTCCCTCACTCTCATAATCCGATGAGACGGTAAACCGACACGACCGCAGCGTGATTAGACGCAAGACCAACGGCTTTACGTGCTTTCCGAGGCACGGGGATGAACAACCACCATCTTTCTTACTCGCCTGGAGTGCTACTGCGAATTCCTTGATAGAAAAACTTAATAACGGATTCTTTTTTTTTAGGTCCAACCCGACTCAAACCCGGGACCTCATGATCAGCAGTCGTGTTTAAGACCACTAGACCAACGAGATAGGCGTTAATTTTAGCCTGTAATTTTTATTTTATTTTTATTCATTAAAAAAAATTCACATGGATAAACATCCAGACCCGGAACAATTACTTGTAGGCCATACAAATACTTGTTCCGTACGGGATTCAAACCCGCGGCTCTTAGCGCTGCTAATTATGTGCGAGTTGCGCCACGGAGCCGTCAAAAAAATTATATTGACACTTTCGTATTCTTCAAACTGGAATGCAATGAACGATACTCGTATGCTACCATGACTATTTTTTCAATTACAGTATATTATTACAACTTCGCATGGTCAGATTATGGAGAAGCGAGTCTCAGCGGATTATTGGACATGGCGAAAGTGGTGTCCTTTGCGTTAGATGAGGGAAGAGTCGCCATACATTGCCATGCAGGTAAAAATTTTGTTTTGCTATTGCATTTAGGCTATTGGCTACAGTAGACTATCTAACTTGTGCCTAATTTTTAAGTCAATTAATATTTATCTGTTGCACGCACAGAATCGTAATAATAATTATTACTATTTCTGTGGTTACACAACACAGGCGGTATGGTTGCTGTTGCCGGTAGTGTTGAACGATATAAATAATTAAGCCAATCAGTCCCGTCAAATAGGGATTTTAATAATGATCGATAATAAGCTTCAAGGGTCTCAAAAAAACCCGAGTCAAGATATTCAAGGTCAGTACTGGCTTGTTTGTCAGTTCTGGCTCGAGAGCCAGAACTGGCACAAGCCAGTCCTCCTCGGCTGACAATGGGTCGACGGATCCTAAAAAAAAGTTTTGGCATGCTCTGATCGGTGGGGCCTGCACCTTCATTAACGTTTTATTGTTCAGCCTTTCCCCTTATCTATTATTCCTTGAACACCATTATCCCTCTTATTTAATACTCGTTGTATACCCTGCTTAACATTGACTTATATATTACTAGCGTAAGGGCCGGGCCGACTGAACAACTAAAACGGACCAGTGCGTTGGCCCTTGAATCGGTCGACAGTAGTGCGCGCGCAGGAAAGATTTGATTTTTTGGCAGATTGCCTGTAACAAATGTGTCTAGTTGCATGGTAAAAGAATGCAAAATTAAGGTACAAAGATTTAAAAGAAACATGGGATATCGTATCATCGGTAAATAACCCTATAATAATTTTGTTACAATTAAATTATTATATAAACGCGTTTTTAAAGATTTATTTTACAGTTAGTTTAGTTACGTTACCAAGATTAGGCCAGGGTTGGATTCAGACCCTCAAAAATATTGCACATGGAAAATAAAATTATAATTATTTGACGCTTCATGTTTCTTTTTTCATCCATTGACCTGAAAGGGAGCTAATTCTAATTTTATTTAAAAAACGCGGTACTCATGTACAATACAGAAATTCTCGATATCGTAGGGTTAATATTAAAATGCAAAAGGACCCAATAATAATACAAGTCGACCTTTAGGTAAAATTATAGTATTTTCGCTTAGTATTATTACGATACTATGTACTCTACAAACTATGAAATAATGGTACAATTAGGATAATTATACTACGAAATCCGACCCTGGTTACGTAGTGTTTTGATATGATATAATAATAAAAACGTATTATGGGATGCGCTACTTTTTCTAGTATGAAAAAGTTATCTATCTCTACCTGTGCAGAGAACAGCGTCGGTAACGACGATCTAGTGGAATGACGAATGAAACGTGTCACATATTTACAAATAATAGGCATTCAGCTAATCATTTTAAAAGTAATGTTCACATAATGATTTCTTAAATTTACGCGAACACTACACATTGAATAAAACTATTATTTACGGATTTTATCGCGTTTAATTACTTTAATTTATTTTTATTATTATCCCGACGTTTCGGGTGCTTTACAGCGCCCATGGTCACGGGGGGGACTGAGATGTTTGACGTCCCAATGTCATAGTTAGTCCGGCTACCTTCAGTTTTTTAATATTAATTTTTGGTCCGATTTACGCAAAACGAGCTTATAGTATCATGAAGTCTTGCAGTGGTATGCTTGGGTTTGGGTTTAATTTTGTTGATTATAGGATCCCAAGCAGATGGTAGCACCCAACCATCTTCTCTATTGAAATTTGGATGTTTTTTAATTTCAATAGCCTCGCGTATCATCCTTGGTAGGAATCGGTGTTCTTTTGCGAGAATTTGTGGTTTATCAAATCTAATGTAATGGTGGGGACGATCTTGAACATGTTCGCAGACTGCAGACTTCCCGGAGCGTCGGTGCTTCACATCAGCTATATGTTCCTTCACGCGGGTTTTTATAGATCTCTTTGTTTGACCTATGTAAGAGAGACCACATTCACAATCTAGCTTGTACACACCTGCATCTTGTAGAGGAATATTACATTTGATGGATGGTAAAAATTGACTAATCTTCTTCAGCGGCTTATAGTATGTCTTAATGGACGCTCGCTTCAAGATGTAGCCAATCTTGTCCGTGACTCCTCCAACATATGGTAGTAGAGCAGGTGCGCGCTCGACTGTTGCCGGCTTCACTCGTTCACTGTGACGTAGGCGCGGGACCCGAAGCTTGTTGTCTTGCAATACTTGCTTGACGTACTGAAGCTCCGCGGCCAGATGTTTTCTGTCACAGATCCCTCGTGCTCTCTGAAACAAAGATTTACCCACGGTAGCTAACTGTGAAGGATGATGGTGAGATTCACCATTTAGATATCGGTTGGTATGGGTCTTTTTCCTATACACAGTGTGACCAATAGTGTTATCAGGATTTCGGATGACTAAAACATCTAGGAAAGCTAAAGAATTATTTGCCTCTAACTCCATTGTGAATTGTATTTTAGAGTTGATGGAGTTAAGGTGGTCTAGAAATGCAGTTACTTTGTCAGATGGTAAAATTGTGAAAGTGTCGTCTACGTACCGCTTGTAGAACCTTGGATTTACAGGAGCAGTAAGAAGGGCTTTCTCCTCAAAGTCCTCCATGAATATGTCGGCGACTATGGGAGACACAGGTGAGCCCATCGCCACACCATCTACTTGCTTGTAGAACTCCTCCTTCCACAATAGATAGCCAGATGTGAGGCAATGTTCAAGTAGTATTGCATATTCTTGAGGCATGTTATTTTCTTCTAGCTTCCTAGTTACAATTGAGATGCAGTCCACAATAGGTAGGCATGTAAATAGTGACTGAACATCAAAACTGACCATAGTTTCATTGTTAGCGAGATGTAGGTCTTTTATCTCACTCACAAAATGGTATGAATCCTTTGTGTGTGCTCTGGTATGTCCTCTCAGTGGTGATAGTATTTTTGCTAAGTATTGTGCCAGCTTATAAGTTGGTGAATCGATCTGGCTCACTATGGGACGTAGTGGAGCGTTTAGTTTGTGTATCTTCGGTAACCCATACAACCTCGGTGGTTTGGCACATGATGGTATTAACGAATTCACGTCGAGATTTAATTTTTCGGAGTATTTCTTTATTAAATCGCTAGTTGTTTTAAGCGTGTTAGTTGTAGGGTCTGTTTTGACCTTTTTATATGTACTTTCGTCCGATAAAAGTTGTTGTATTTTAAAATTATATTCCGACGTGTCCATTACTACCGTAGCATTTCCTTTATCCGCGCGGAGAATCGTGAGTTCTGGTCTGTTCCGTAAGTTATTTAGCGCTGTAAATTCGTCTTTGGGAAGTTTTGGTTTCGGCACTGAACTGCGACGTAACAAGGACGAAATATCTTGACGTATGGCCTCCAAATCTTCCTTACCGATATTATTCTTAAACAGACAATCCTCAACACTGCAGATAATTTCTTCGTACGGGATTTTTCGCGGAGTTAATGCGAAGTTCATTCCCTTCGCTAATACTTTCATTGTCGGTTCGTCCAGTGTATGTTTTGACAAATTACAGACAGTGCGTTGTTTATAGTTTGTGTCTATGGTCAACGGTTGTTTATTGTTCTGGCGTTGACTTGGATGTTTGGCATTTGATTTGATCGTTAATTTACGGAACAGACCAGAACTCACGATTCTCCGCGCGGATAAAGGAAATGCTACGGTAGTAATGGACACGTCGGAATATAATTTTAAAATACAACAACTTTTATCGGACGAAAGTACATATAAAAAGGTCAAAACAGACCCTACAACTAACACGCTTAAAACAACTAGCGATTTAATAAAGAAATACTCCGAAAAATTAAATCTCGACGTGAATTCGCTAATACCATCATGTGCCAAACCACCGAGGTTGTATGGGTTACCGAAGATACACAAACTAAACGCTCCACTACGTCCCATAGTGAGCCAGATCGATTCACCAACTTATAAGCTGGCACAATACTTAGCAAAAATACTATCACCACTGAGAGGACATACCAGAGCACACACAAAGGATTCATACCATTTTGTGAGTGAGATAAAAGACCTACATCTCGCTAACAATGAAACTATGGTCAGTTTTGATGTTCAGTCACTATTTACATGCCTACCTATTGTGGACTGCATCTCAATTGTAACTAGGAAGCTAGAAGAAAATAACATGCCTCAAGAATATGCAATACTACTTGAACATTGCCTCACATCTGGCTATCTATTGTGGAAGGAGGAGTTCTACAAGCAAGTAGATGGTGTGGCGATGGGCTCACCTGTGTCTCCCATAGTCGCCGACATATGCATGGAGGACTTTGAGGAGAAAGCCCTTCTTACTGCTCCTGTAAATCCAAGGTTCTACAAGCGGTACGTAGACGACACTTTCACAATTTTACCATCTGACAAAGTAACTGCATTTCTAGACCACCTTAACTCCATCAACTCTAAAATACAATTCACAATGGAGTTAGAGGCAAATAATTCTTTAGCTTTCCTAGATGTTTTAGTCATCCGAAATCCTGATAACACTATTGGTCACACTGTGTATAGGAAAAAGACCCATACCAACCGATATCTAAATGGTGAATCTCACCATCATCCTTCACAGTTAGCTACCGTGGGTAAATCTTTGTTTCAGAGAGCACGAGGGATCTGTGACAGAAAACATCTGGCCGCGGAGCTTCAGTACGTCAAGCAAGTATTGCAAGACAACAAGCTTCGGGTCCCGCGCCTACGTCACAGTGAACGAGTGAAGCCGGCAACAGTCGAGCGCGCACCTGCTCTACTACCATATGTTGGAGGAGTCACGGACAAGATTGGCTACATCTTGAAGCGAGCGTCCATTAAGACATACTATAAGCCGCTGAAGAAGATTAGTCAATTTTTACCATCCATCAAATGTAATATTCCTCTACAAGATGCAGGTGTGTACAAGCTAGATTGTGAATGTGGTCTCTCTTACATAGGTCAAACAAAGAGATCTATAAAAACCCGCGTGAAGGAACATATAGCTGATGTGAAGCACCGACGCTCCGGGAAGTCTGCAGTCTGC